CCACACTCTCTTTGCCTGTTGTTGTTAGGATTTAGCACTTCTATTGCAGTAGCACCCAGAGGCCCCAGCCAAGATCAGGGCCCCACTGGGCTGGGTGTTGTGCACGGCATCTAATAAATGACCAGACTTCGCCCCAAACTAAAGACCGCAACCAAGCTAAGCTTCCCCTGCCTTTGTCTTCATGCCAGCTCCCACGCTGCCCCCTCTGGAATCCCCTCCTCATCCCTGCCTGCCAGCTGCTAACCCTCCCTGTTCCAAATTCCTCAAAGCTGCTACCCCACTGCTTGCTTGTCATTTAAAGATGGGGGCAAGAGAAGTAAAAAAGAGAGGAAAAGCTAATTCAAAGCAACCCCTGTGGCAAACAAACAGGAAGCTATTCAGGCAAGGGTTCAAGGAAGGGGCAGTGAGGGAGAGCTCAACTCCCCCTCCTCTACTCAAAGCACGGGAAGGGTTTCTCCTCTTTCTGGCGTGGGAGAGTGAGAACAGGTGTCTCCTAAGAATTCCTGCTCCTGTTTCAATCTGCTTTAAACCCGGTGTGTGACTGAACTTTCCTCTAGGCGTCCTGGTGTGTTTCACAGGGCAGGGACCATGTCTTCTGTATACTGTCTTCCAAGCGTAATTAGGTCTCATGAACCTTGCGAATTGTGACATCTGGCATTACCCTGTCTGCTTGTCTGTCTGCCCTTTGCTTGTGAGCTCCTCAGAACAGGGACCATCCTTAAGCATTTGGAAAGTGCCTAGCACATAGTGGGTGCTACTATACATGGAAAATAATGTCCAGTGTCCCTGGATGGCAGGGAATAGGACTGTGTGGTGTATTGAGAACTGTGTTGGAATTGGAAGCTGTCACTTGGAGAGGGTGTGGTGGGGTGGCGGTCTTAGTCCTGCTTGTGGGCTCGGGGACTCTGTAAGAAAGCATGCAGCCACAGAGTCAGTTCTGGAAAGAGCCAGCTTAAAGCAAGGTGAGGTGAATTGTGCCTGGCTGCCTTAGGGAGCAGCCTGTTTTCTCTCTCTCTGGTTTTAGGTTTTTGAGTTATCGTTCTGAATTATAAGAAATAAAGTAGTGTTACATTGCAGCCTTCCAGCAAGAGTATTTGTTTTTATCTGATTTCTCAGTGTGTGTGCTGAAAGCATAACAGACTATTCACTTGGGAAAGAAAGAACTGCAATAAAGTAGGCTGTCTCTCTGTATAAATGCTCTGACAGATCTGTGACCCATTGAATGGTGAAACACATGTACAAATAAATACTATTTTGAGGGGGGGGGAAATGTTGGGGTTTCTGGGCTCTAGCCTGTGATAGGACTGGATTAGGACTGGGCTGCTTGGACATAAGAAGAGATAAAAACTCACCTGAACTGAGTAGCCAGCATCCTCTTGTGTTTCTATACATAATAAATCATACAGCAAAACTCCCAGGCCCAGCTAGAGGGAGAAGTTCTCTCTCAGCTCTGACACACTCTGAGTGCTTTCATTCACATGATGAATCAGCTGGCAAATACACATTAAAGCCTTCTGTATGCTAATAATGACTATTTCCAGTCTTGTTGCTTTAACAGTATGAAAAACACAGAAATAGGCACATTTTAACTAGATCTGGTCTCAAGCGGCAAGATCGAGGATTTGAATGATCACACATTCAGCAGCATTGGTATGCAGAGTTTTGGTTTAGGGCCATCTTTAATTGTAGCCAATGGGATTGCAGTATGCAAATAAATTAGGGTCAACTGTAGGAGGACTGGCTGAGTTGCCTCTGATGTCACAGTCCCACCTCCTGTTCTCCCTAATGTGCTTAACTTTCTTGATATTTAAACTAAAATTTTAAAAGATCCTTTCTGGTTTATGTAATTAAGTTTTACTTAATTACTGTTCATATTACGGTGCTGCCGAGAGGCCCCAACTAAGATCAGCACCCCACTGTGCTAGGTGCTGTAGAAACACACATGTTCAAAGATTATAAAGCTACAAGTGACCCCTGTGATCATCTAGTCTGACCTTCTTTATAATACAGGCCATAGAACTTCCCTGAATTAATTCTTGTTTGCACTGGAGCGTATCTTTTAGAAAAAGCATAGTAAGAAATAGCTCCCGTCCCAAAGAGTTTACATCTAATTAGACAAGATTGACAAAATAAGGCAGAAAGGTGGTATTATTATCCCCATTGTACAGATGAGGAGATGAAGCACAGAGAAATTCAATGACTCTCCCGAGACCACGTAGAAAGTTGACCCCCTATCTCCTGGATGCCAGTCCAGTGCCTTAAAAAAAGAACATCTCTTCAAGTTAGAATGTTATGAAAACAGGACGAGAAGATGCAGGGAAGTTCTAACAAAAACGGGATTTTTGTGGTTGAAGATCTTGCGTTTATCCTCAATAATTTAAAAACACAATAGAAGGCAATCTTGAGATGTGGTACGTAGAGTTAAAAAAAGTGACCGATGCCCTGCAGTTAAGGTTGCCTCAAAAAATTAGTTCCCAAATTTTCTTGTTTTTAATTTCAGTCTTTGAAGGGGATTCAGCTCATTAACCAAAACACTGAAATAAACATTAGATTCAAAGGATGTACCCCAAGGGCTGCAGTCAGGGTTCTATGTGCTGCTTAGATGATATATGGCTCTTAGTCGGTGGGTGTCTGAAATCTGCACAGAGTCCCAGTTCAGAGCTGGGGTTGAGGGAGATAAAAGGGAGAGGGAAACATTATGACATTTAATTTTTTAAAAATTCCTGTTGGATTTGTTGTTTTTTTCTTGAAATTCAAAATTTTGAAATATTTTGTCAATAAACAGGGAAAACTGTTGTGAAAATGTTTTTTCCTGTGTGTATTTCAAAGTTTGAAATGCTGAATTAAGTCCACTTTGTGAAGTTTGAAAAACGTTGACCAGATCACACCAGTGTCGCTGTTTTTCCAGTCGCCCCACCCACCTGGGGCTCCCATCCAGTCTCTGTCTGCCAATGACACTCGACAAAAACAAAACCCTCTTAGCTGGAGGGTTTCACTGTGCAAAGGGGACACAATTGGGGGACAGCATTACCTTATGTGAGGGTTGAGGGGAACAGTGCTGTAGAGAATGGCCCCAGACCTACCTTTCCTTGCCCCATGGAGCTTGAACCCCATGGATTCCATCATGTCAGAGAAAAGGGGATGGATCTTCCCATTGCAGGCCCTTCAGTTTGTGGAAGCAGAGCTGATGATAGGGTTTATTATATCTTCTTAGGGTGTAAGAGAATTTTTACATCCTGTGAATAGATGCTGGTTTGATTCATACTTGGGCTCCTGTTTTCTATGTACACATCGTAGGTAGGCTCCCATGTTTTACACACACGTGCGCACACCAGTCTTGGATTTCTTTGGGATTAAACACTTTTCTGCACAAAACCCTTTTTGAAATAGGAGCCCCTCCTGGGCACAGACAAGCTTGGCCCTGATTGGCTCTGCGCATTCTATTTTGGAGCCCAAAGCGGTGTCTGATTGGCCGAGTTGCCTCTTATGTCACTATCCCATTGCCATCACAAAATACTTTCACTTTGTTCTCTTGGTTACAGCGAGGTTCATGGAATGCTCTCTTTCTATGTAAGCTCGTGCCTTGGCTCCTTGCGTACCACTGAGAATATTTATATTTAATCATTCCTCTCTTTTATGTAGATGCATGTTTCTAGGCACAATCTATTTTTGTAAAACTCCCCTAAATTAAATAAGTGTTCAGTGTTTACTGCCATCTAATCAGCTACTCAAAAGGTAGGTTGAAGTTCTACACTTAGTCTTGATTTTCAGCTATGATGGTTAAAAACACATTAAATGAGAATTTTGTCTAGGATGTTTCTTTGCACTGTCTCCCTCTTCGCATGTCACTGCTGTTTCTGTATTTCCCTCCTTTTGTGACCGGGTTTTCACCACATAGACTAGAAACATATGTCAGCGAGAGTATTTGTGTACTTGGCTGAATGTGTTTTAAATATTTTGCCATTAGAAAGAGTGCGTGGTCTCTTTACTGTGAAAAAATGTTGCTGTGGTTCTGATGTGGGTTGAACTATCGAATGTTTATGGAAGATGACAAAACAAAGCTGTTTACAGTGTGGTATCCAAGACATAATGACACTAGAGAGTTTGTCATCCAGGAGCGTGCTAGAGAAAACCTGGACCAAAGTAATGGAATTTTGTGTGTACTCATATTTCAGATGTGCTATTAAAAGACGGAACAGAACAATCTCTGTCTGTCTGTTCCAGGGGCTGACAAACTCTTTGATTGTTACTTGAATTGCAGGAGCACTGTTGATACCCCCATGGGAAATTGGGTGCACATTGTAGTCAGCCTAGTAAGAGACGGACCTTGCCCTAAAGAACTTCATGGTATGGAGCACATCTAAATAGCGAGATTATCTCTGGGGCCGTCTTCCTTTAGCAATTAATCTGACCACCTCCCCTTCCAGGCAAGATCCAAGTCTCAACGATGCGATGTACCTAGGACAATTGCAGCAAATGTTGGTGTATGGCACAGCTGGCTCCGCCTCTTTGTTTCCACCTGCTTCTGTACAGTCCAGATTCTCCTTTGCAATGAATATCTGAGATGCTGGTAGAAGCCGATGGAACAAGGAGCCAGAACCAACATCATGAGACCAGCCAGTTTGCCGTAGATCACTAGCAAGTGCTCTGCTGTCCAGGGGTTTGGGAACTGCTGATCTAATCTGTGCATCTAGGTTTTTGTACCAGGCCCGTCATTATGGTATCTGAGCTTGACAGCAAATGCAGTGGATCAGGTAGGGTGACCAGACAGCAAGTGTGAAAAATCAGGACAGGGGGTGGGGGGTAATAGGAGCCTATATAAGAAAAAGACCCCAAAATCGGGACTGTCCCTATAAATTTGGGACATCTGGTCACCCTAGGATCAGATGAAGGGGTTGGGTTTAGCCATGTCTAGGGTGTGTATTGTTTTTGAACATGTGTGTTTCAATTAAATGTCTGTATTTACACTCCACCTCTTCCTCCTCTCTCTCCTGGTCTAGGTTGCATGGTTGGGCCCTGGAAATGGGATGTCAGTCCCATTCAGGGAGCATAAAGGAAGACAGAGAATTTCCTAGTTGCCGCTGCAACAGTAAGTGAGTCCCAGAGGTAGGAAAATGTCAACTGTCACATCAGCGATACAGGCTCCCCAGGGCCCTGTCAATCCACCCCCCCCAGAAGTCACCAACCCCAACAAGCCCGGGCGGAAGACCAACCAGTTGCAGTACATGCAAAATGTTGTGGTGAAGACCTTGTGGAAGCATCAGTTTGCTTGGCCCTTCTACCAACCCGTCGATGCAATTAAATTGAATTTACCAGTAAGTATTCTTTCCTTTGCTTTGTGTCCTCTGCCAGGAGAGCTCCGCTTTAGCGATGTGCAATTTCTGCTCATGTGAAGTGAAATGTTGTTAGGTTCCTTCTGATTCCCCAACTCCCCAGAGTTGCCGTGCTGAGCACTGGCCCCTGCATGGCGAAACGAGAGGGGTAGTCATTCGTTTCCCAGTACCCTGAATATGAGACCAACTTTCACAGACCTGACTTCTTCGTAACTAGTAGAAGTCACATTAACTCTGATCCATTATTAGATGGATTTTTTTTTTAAATTTTATTTTTTGGTTCTGTTTATTAAGAAGCTCCTCAGGCCTTTGCTATTTTTGAGTCTTTGTTGTAGATTAGAATGTTACCTTAATAGCTTCTGACGTATGCTTAAAGAAAGAGCATAAGGACTGCCTTTTGGAATTATGCAATGGGTTTTCCAAGAGCAGCAGATGTCCCTGAAATCTTTGGGTCAGGAATAGGAGCTGGAACACTCAAGAACTGAAATAGTGTTTTCACTTAATGTCAGACTCTCTTAACTTTGGCCTGGTCTGCACTAGAAAGGTTTACTGGCATTGCCGTGTTGGTTAGGAGTGTGAAAAAAATCATGCTCCCAATCAACCTAGCTGTGCTGGCAAAAGCCCTAGTAGATGCAGTTATAAGTGGGGAAAAAAAGTCCTTTTGCCAGCTTATCCTGTTCGGGGAGCTGGTTTAAGCTATACCAGTAAAAAACGTTCTTTTGCTGGCATAAGCTGCCTCTCCATGGGGGAGGATTCCCAGTATAACTATACCAGCAAGCCCGTTTAAATGCAGACAAGGCCTTTGTCTCATAAAGAAATGCTACACAAAACTGTTTTTTAAAAGAAACCTCTGAACATCTTAGTTCCTGCTGAATCTCTTAAAGATCAAGGGCTCAATTCCTTTTCCATATGTACATGCACAGCTCCCATTGATTTCACCACGGTCTGCACACATTCACCTGACGGCAAAGACAGTTTCCCTATTAACGGTTAGCATGAACTTGCCTCCCCAGATCTCCGCTCTAGGAGTCAGCACCAAGCCAGCCACTGCTGGAACCTTTCAAGGAAATTGGTGCTAACTCCACCTTGCTTGCTCAGACTATGATCATAGCAGCGGAGGGACTGTGCATCTGATTTCCAGAGGTTCTGAGCACCTTGGCTTCCGCTTTGACCTACCTGCCCACCCCATTAGTTGCAGAGCAAAAGGGTTTATTTAGGGTTAATTTTTAGTTAAAAGTGGTAGGCGTGTTTTAAATCCCATTCGCTGGTAGGTATTTTTTTTCAATCTTGTTCTAGTTCTGACATTTCAGGATTGCCATTTGCAAATCAGACACCACCAGGAAAGCAGGGTCTTCACTTTATGGGAAAGGTGCCTCCTGTCTGATGTCCCCCATTGGGGAGGGGGAGCTGTTCTCATTGGCGATGTATAGGGCTTATTGCGTCCTGACCTAACAAGCTGTCTTTACTGTTTCTTGAACAGGATTATCACAAAATAATCAAAAACCCGATGGACATGGGGACAATTAAGAAGCGACTGGAACATAACTATTACTGGAGTGCCAGTGAATGCATGCAGGATTTCAACACAATGTTTACAAATTGTTACATTTACAACAAGGTAAAGAATGCAGACAAACTCCTAGCTGTGGCTCTGAATAGGGAAGCCTGCGGGTGGCTATTCCACTGCAGCTTTTGACTAGGGATAACTTGTGCACAAAACCCTCCTGGCAATGCCATTAATGGTAATCATATTACTTTTAAATGTACAAAGCTGTCTTTGTGTTGCATGTTTCTTTGCCCGCACTGGTTAAAATGGCAAACGTGTTCTTAACTGTAGGTAGAATTAATATCTTGGGGTTACACAGCGAGTCAGCCGAGACTTCAGCCCTTTAATTTCACGGAGGAATTCTTTCAGATTAGCTAATGTTTGCACAACGCTTTGTAGATGTTAAGTGGAATATAAGTGCTAAGTGTTATTCTCTTTGTCCAGTAGTAACTAATATCAGATACTCCTCTCAGCAGCAGAGGGCAGGTAAATAACTCCTATCATTATATCCGCTGTCCATGCCTCATGCGTTCTTCCATAAATCTCTCGTGCACTTTGTTGGTTGCTTATATATGCTTTTTTTTTTTTTTTTTTTTTTGGCTTTAAAGTGCTTTTTATTCCTTGTATTTTTCTTCCTAAGATAGTTCATCATTGACCCATGTTGGGGAGCGAGCTGAAATAAATAAATTAATTAGCTGGTGCTGCAACGAGGAAGGTGTTTATTCTCTTCTCCGGAATATTTTGCCAGACAGGGATTGACAGCTCGTCGGTTGCAGCTCTCTGCTTCCAAACCGATATGTGGGGCAGCAATGGTGTGGGCTTCTAAAGGAAGCCGTGTTCTGGTTCTTCATTGTATTTAGAGGCTGTAATTTGCCAGCTGGTCAGGGTACGTGCACACTGCAATAAAAGACCCACAGCACGGCTGCGGCTGGCCTGGGACAACTGACTCAGGCTCACGGGGTTTGGGCTGCGGGGCTATACAATTGCAGTGTAGACATTCAGGCTTGGGCTGGAGCCGGAGCTCTGGGACCTTCCCCTCTTGCAGGGTCCGAGATCCTGGGCTCCAGCCCAAGACCGAACGTCTACACAGCAGGTTTTCAGCCCTGGAGCCCGAGCCCTGTGAGTCCAAGTCAGCTGACCTGGACCAACCAGGTTTTTTTCATCCCCATGTAGACATACCCTTAGAGCCCAGGCTCCAGCCCAAGTCCGAACCTCTACCCTGCTATTTTAACCCCGGAGCCTGAGCCTGAGTCAGTTGATCCGGGCTCTGATACTTGGTACTGCGGGTTTTTTATCGCCGTGTAGACATACCAATTGAGGCTGGCGTGAATACCAGAGAAGGGGTAAAGAGTTATTTAATTCTCAGAGCTATGGCGCATTCATTCATTGGAAGACAGCGTACATTTCTGGCTAGGGGATAAATCAAACAACGCGATTGTAAAGGCTTTCAGTCCCTCTTTGCTTCTCACGGGTGCATTATGCTAGTGCTGCCTTGTTCTGTCCACCCAGCCCACGGATGACATCGTCCTCATGGCGCAAGCCCTGGAGAAGATTTTTCTGCAGAAAGTAGCCCAGATGCCCCAGGAGGAAGTTGAGTTATTACCACCGGTCCCTAAAGGCAAAGGTCGCAAGCCAGCAGCGAGCGCACAGAGTGCAGGTACTGACCTGACCAGATGGTAATCAATGTTGCGAGCCCATTGCTGATTCCTGACCCACTTCCACCCTGCCTGACTAGACACACAATTAGGAGGGTAGAAAAGGAGTGTAGTCTAATGGTCAGAGCAGTTGACTGAGATTCAGGACGTATGGATCCTGCTTGTCTGTCTGTCCAAGATACTGCCCATCATAGTAGTATCTGACTGCTTGCCAGTCTTTTAATGTATTTATCCTCATAGCAGGCCTGTGAGGGAGGACACTGCTACTATCTCCAGAGCACAGAGAGACTAAGGGCCAGATATCTAAAGGCATTTAAGCTCCTAACTCCCATTGAAATCACAGGGGTGAAAACACGTGTTTGCATTGATTTAACGAAACAGGAGCAAGTTGCTGTGTAGATGAAATCTGATTGTGGCTTTGGGAAAGTCAGTTTGCCTTTTGTGCCTCAAGTTCCACAGATGTCAACTAAGGCACCAAGTCTGTAAAGCGTCCTTTGAAGGTGCTGTAGAAGTGCAAAGAATTATTTCATTAATCAATAATAGAACAGTGCTGGGACTTTAAAAACAAACAACAACAAAACTTTTGCACCTTGTATTAAAATGCAGCTGCCTCTGTGGGACAGATTACCGTCGCCCTATAACAGGAATGGCAGCATGGTGTAGCATATAATGCACTAGTCTGGGAATCCAGAGACCTGGGTTCTGTTCCCAGTTCCGCTTTTCATTTGCGGCATAACCATGGGCAAGTCACCTGAACTTTCTCTGTGAAGAGCTTTGAGGTCTATGGATTTAAAGTGCCGTATAAGTAGGCCTGGGTGAGACTTTTTTGGTGAAACATGCAGATTTGGCAACATGGAAACGTTTTGTGAATTCCTGTTAGCTTTGCCGAGTTGTTTTGGTTGGAAAAAACAAAACAAACAAATTCTGAAAAATGTAAACATTTCATTTTGACATGAACTGTTTCCATGTTCCGGTTCGGGGTGATGCTTTTTGTTCAAAACTTTCTTTTATTAAAAAAAAAAAATTTTAAAAATGGTTGAAATGGAAACAAACCGTTTCATTCGACCTGACATGAATTTTTTGTTGACTTTTCAATTCACCGATACATTTGAAAATTTTTCTTTTCCGTTTGACCCAAAATGGACATTTTAAAAAAAAAAAGGTCAGGCTTACCAGGGACTGAACAATCCGGTTTTTGCCCAGCCCCATAGACATAGGTATTTATTATTAACTCTGCAGGGCAGTAGCAAAGGCAGCGTGAACCCAGTGGAGGTTTTCCTGCTGTGAACAGTTCAGCGTCCTTTCTAGAGAATCCACGTCCTTCCCTACCCTCCCATCGGTCTCCTCCTTGGCTGAGCACGGGCTAGTGCTGAGAGAGGCTGGAAGGGAAAACAGAAACTGTCCCATAACAGCAGAACTGACAGTCAGGACTTGGAGCAGTTTGCTCACATATGGTCATCCAGACACTGCAGAGAGAGCAGAAAGGCCCAGACGTTCATTGCTGTAGAGTCCAGAGGCAACAGCTTCTCTTGGTCAAGCTAGCTGAGCGGCTATTGAATGTGCTGTCTCACCTGTGTTTAATTGTATCGTTTTAAAGGAGCGCAGCAAGCAGCAGCCGTGTCATCTGTCTCCCCGCCAGCCCCTTTCCAGAACGTCCCTCCAGCTGTCTCTCAGACGCCCGTTATCGCCGCCACGCCTGTGCCAACCATCACCGCAAACGTCCCGCCTGTAACTGCTCCTCCTGCTGCCGCTGCCCCTCCTCCTGCTGCTCCGATTATGACAGTGGTTCCTCCCACGCCACCTGTAGTCAAGGTAAACAAAGCAACCAACCGTCTTTCTCTTTGCAGTACCGCATTTTTAGATGGGCAACCGCTGGTCAGAAACATGAGTTCCTTCCCTTTGCATTTGACTTTCCAACTCCACAGATATCACCACCAGTTAGCCAGCTACGAGGCTGCATGAACGTAAAGGCCTCTGAGGGCCCAGTGCCCCTACCCCACCTAAGAACTCCCTGCTCTCACCAGTTGTCCCATAGATTTTGGTAGGACTGCTCCTTTCAGGTTTGCAAGAGCAGGCCCAACGAACATACAGCTCCATTTTAGTTTCAAACGGGCATAGAGCAAATCAGGAAGGGCCTGATCCTGCATTCCTGACTCCAGGGCAGTCAGTGGGAGTTTTGTCACAGTAAAGACTGCAGGAGGGCACTCCAGCTGGAAGGTATTGAAAGCAGCTTTGTGCTTTGCGAACCCGAGAAATATCAGTAGGATCAGCAAGTTCTGTCTTTCTCACTGATTGTATTCTGCTACCAATTGTACGCCTGTATTTTACTATTTAATTTGCTAATTTAATTTCCCAGTAAATTAAATTACTGCTCCAAACAGCTGCTGGCTGAATACCATTTTTTTTAAAGAAAAAAAATTGGATGAAAGCGTTAATCTAGTGACACAATTTTCTGCTTGAAATTTAACATTAAAACAGGGGTGTTAACAGTGTTCTGTAGAGGATAGCAAACCCTGGACTGGAACACAGGGGATATGGGTTCTAGTCCCAGTTTTGCCACTGGCTTGCTGTGGGGGACCTTGGCCAAATCACATTCCCTTTCTGTGCCTCAGTTTCCCCGTCTATAGAATGGGGATAATGATATTGATCTCCTTCGTGTAAAAGCACTTTGAGATCTACAGATAGAAAGTGCTATATAAGAGCTAGATACTACTATTGATGTCATGGTAGCACCCAGAGGTCATAATCGAGATCCGGATCCTATTGTGCTAGACTTCGTACAAACATAAATAAGTGCTAATACCGTAAATGGCATGACCGTAATTTAAATCCTCTTCACATGTCCTGCCAAAGGGGGCATTAGCACTTCAGAACTACCTGTAGCATAAATTTACAGGTTCATGCCACAAGGTGAGATGAGGTTGCGTCTGTTAATAATCATGGAGCTTATTGTTTGGGATTTACTTTTTTATTTCCCACAGAATTAACCCTTGAAGTTGCAAGTTTATAACCCAAATCTTCTGCCAGCTAAATCCACACTGCACAGGAGTCTCTTTCATTCCGGATGCACTCTGTGCACAAATAACTCATTTCCTAGTCACCCATATATTTTAGGTGCATTTCACCTGCATATTAAAGAGGCTAGTAAAAACTGAGTTTTGCAAGTAAACATTGCAAAATTCTCTCGGTTTGAAATCACAATTTCCCCCCAGCTTTCTATGGAAAGCAAGTTTTTCAGAGGCAAAAGACCTTCCCTGGAGAAGTTGGGAGGGGTTTGGTAGGGAGAATCACAATGCCGGGATTTATATGCACTGGATATACTTTATTTCCTTGGGGCCAGACTGTGAAACTCTTAATCCCATTTCTAAGCAGTTACCTGCCTGAGTTGTTCCATTGACTACAGTGGGCAGGTTCTCTCCTTGTGACTAGCCCCCTTGACTTGTTGCTCCCCAAGGGCCCGATTCTCTGCTCACATCAGTAATACTCAGGGACAACTCCCGTTGTAGTCAATGGAGCTACAGCCGTGTAAAACCCGGTGTAAGTAAGAGGAGAATCAAGCTATGTGGCAAGAATCGGTTGTGCTGGCTGAGCAGGATCAGGCCCCGAAGTGGCCCTTGCCAGCCCGGTCTGCAGGCAGGACCTGTATTCCCGACCACCCATTCTTTGTTTCAGAAAAAGGGAGTGAAGCGAAAAGCAGACACGACCACGCCCACCACCTCGGCCATCACTGCCAGTCGGAGCGAGTCGCCCACCCCGCTGTCAGACCCCAAGCAGGCAAAAGTCGTCGCTCGCCGAGAGAGCGGCGGCCGGCCAATCAAGCCACCAAAGAAAGACCTCGAAGATGGGGAGGTCCCCCAGCACGCGGGGAAAAAGGGCAAACTCTCTGAGCACCTCAAGTACTGTGACAGCATCCTGAAGGAGATGCTCTCTAAGAAACACGCAGCCTACGCATGGCCCTTTTACAAGCCTGTCGATGCAGAGGCCTTGGAATTACATGACTATCATGATATTATCAAACACCCCATGGATCTCAGTACTGTGAAAGTACGTCCATGTTTACCACCTCTTTTGCAGGGTGTCTTAGCTCTCTGGTTGCGAATAGAAGAGGGGCTACCGCTCTTGCAGTGGGTCGGTTCTTGGTGGGTGGGGTGGAAAATTGACCAGATTTGTGGACCATTCAGATCTTTTTTTTTTTCTATTTTGTTTCCCTTTTTCCATGTCCTGGAATGTTTCCCTGTACCCTGTATTCCACACTGTGCAGTGCCAACAGCTCCCTGAGCAGATAGTCCGGCTATCTAAACACACGCCCCCTTGACAGCGTTGTGCTCTGAACACAGGATGTGCGGTATTTCGTAGGGTTCGATCCATAGAACCCCGTGTACAGCAGTCACTGCCTTCCCATCAGTTGTTTGTGTGGCGTGGGCTCTGGATGGTCTTTGTGTGACGCCAGGTGGGACCTGATTATCACCTGTTCACTCCGCGGTGGTAGATGTTACAAATATAGCAGCGTTGCTAGCTAGCAGTGGTTCACGGCTGCCTCGTAGAGAAGCAGGTATTTCAACTTAGCTTACCTTGGTTTGAACTTCAGGGTGCTTTTCTTTTGGGGCGGGGAGGTTTCCCTCCATCCGCAGGGCTCCCCCCCGCGTTCTGCTGGTTAATCGGCCATAGGAATCTCTGTTGGTTGAAATGAGACTTTTCCGCCCACAGGCGAGAGATGAAGATGCTCCTGCTAGCTTTTACTTGTTATGTTGAGGGCTTAAACCTGCTCCCCTTAAAGCCAATGAGTGGGATTTCCAAAAATGCTTAAGTGACTTAAGAGGCCCAGTGTTCCTCCGTCACCATCCTTTTTCTGAGTGCTCCTAAGTCACTTAGGTTGCTTTGGAAAATCCCATTCACTACTTATATGCACTATAATAATGGTCCAAAAGATCTTCCAAGTGATACTTGGAACTGCGGAGTTTGGGACTACTATTGCAGTATATTTTTTTAAGGGAGGGGATTTTGTCAGCATGAGCTACTGCATGAAGCCTGAGGTGAGGAGCCAATAATTCATGAGTTCTAAGCCTTGGGCAAGTCATTTCACCTATCTGTGCCTCATTTTCTCCATCTGTAAAATGGGGATAAGAATATTTCCCTACCTCACAGGGCTGTTGCGAGGACTGATGTTTGTAAGGCCCTACGTATGTGCTAAGTATCGTTATCGGGAATGTTTACCCCACCCAGGGCCGGCTCTCTGCTGGCTGAGATGCTGCAAGCAGCCACTTGTGGAGTGATGACTCAAAGACCATCCTTATTCTTGCATTTGCCCTCACTCTGTAAACCCGAGCCATCCCAGTGCTCAGGATTTCGTTTTAGATTTGCCACTGAGCCAAGCCGAGCTAAAGGCCTCCAGCGACTTCCTGGGAGGAGAAAAGGAAAGACGCCTGGGTGAGTTGAGTTTGCGCGAGCGCTGGTCGTACAGCAGAGAAAGGATTCTGGTGTAGGCGAGAGACGTGGGAACTGGTGGCAGAGCCCTGGTGCGCTGGCTGGGTCCAGGTTGAGCGCGTGGGAGAATGGCTCCAATGGCTCTTGGTGCACGTGTCGTTTCTTGGGAGGCAGACCAGCGTGGAGTAGGCAGGCAGCAGGAAGGGCCGCATGGAATACGGTTTGTAGGAGGAGACCAGAGCGGATCAATTCTGGGGCTCTGGGAGACTGAAAGACTTTTCTGCCTGTATCTTCTGCAGTGCTGATGGAGGGGAGGGCGCGAGTGTTTTCTTGACTCGTTTTGCTTTTCTCTCGGGGGCTGGAGGTGGCGGAGAGAGAGAGGCGTCCTCCATGTCCCCACTGGAGGGCTGAGGTACCCCTGGCATTTCGGCCGTAGGATGCAGCTGCCACCTTTGCTATCTTTGGGTGACCAGCAGTGGAGGCTCCTCTGGGATGCATGGGGTGGGCAGTGTCCTGTTTGGGTTGCCATGCTCTATCTCTTGCCCTTCAGATTTGCTTTGTGGATTCCCATGGAGGCCCATGAGGCTCCATCCGCATGGATGAGATCACAGAACCGTACCCACTGCCAGAAAATCTATGCTCAGCTTCATGTGTCCATTTTCCCCACTCACTGCCAGATGTCAGCAGCTGCCGTGCTGACCAGGAGCCCAATCCTGCTGCCATCAAAGCCAGCAGCAGAACTCTCATTGATTTCAGAGGGAGCAGGATCAGACAGTGGATGGGACTTTCTCTTTCAAGCTTACTAGTGTTTCCCCTTAGATCATTTTGGAGCAGTGCCTTCCTCCTGCCTCGAGCAGCTTGGCTGTCTGCCTTAGTAGCGCTCTCAGCCACGGAAGTTTTAATCTAGCATAGATTGACTTTGATTCTTATTGTTTACACAATAAGGACGGTGATCAATTGCTCTCCGTGTCCACTGAAGGTCGGACAAGAACTAATCGGCTTAGTTTGCAGCAAGGGAGATTTAGGTTAGATATTAGGAAACGCTTTCTAACAATAAGGATAGTTAAGTACTAGGACAGGTTACCAAGGGAGGTTGTGGAATCCCCGTCATTGGAGGTTTTTAAGGACAGGTTAGACCAACATCTGTCAGGGATGGTCTAGTTTACTTGGGCCTGCCTTAGTGCCAGGGGCTGGATTAGATGACCTCTTCAGGCCTCTCCCAGCTCTACATCTATGTGATTCTGTTAGATTGACATTCCTGCCTCTATCCGTGCTCTGCAATGGAACTGGAATACATATAGGAAGAAGAGACACCTGAAATGTTTATAAACCAAACAATCTGTTTGTCTCGGCCATGGAGAATTTACATTCTAAGGCCCCAATCCTGCAAGCGCTTATGCAGATGAGCAATCCCATCAACTTCATTGGAGCTAATCATGGGTAAAGTTACATGCTTAAGTGTTTGCAGGATGTGGGCTATAAAACAGACAGACAGGATACCCTGGAGGTCCTAAGGGACATACCTGGCTTAAAACACGATCCTGTTAATTCTTTTGCACGAGTAATTTTATTGACAAGAGGCATCCCATTAAGGCCACTGGGACTGCGGGAACTAGAGGTGCTGCCCTCCCTGGCTTGAAGCGGTGTCCATTATATACAGGGTTTACAGTTTGGTTCGATGGTTCTCAGGACCCCCACTGTACAAATTGTTCCAGCCCCCCTGCTGCTCACGTGAGTAAATTTGCTGCGGCGTATAAGTGTTTGCAGGATATGGCTATTAGATTGTAGGGTTTTATTATTATTACTTTCACATGGCTCCCTTTTCCCTTCATATGCCATTTTGCTGACAGTGTTGAGGTGTTTGAGTTAATCATCTGGAATTAAGAAATCTAGACCGAGGCCCTAATTTTTAAGAGGACCCCTAACAAAGTCTGTAATTCTCCAATTAGCTACCTGTGGATGCAATTGGGTGGGTTCATGCCCTTGCAGTTATTTACGCCCAGTTACTGCATGCACACGATTCCAAATCCAGCCCTGAATATCTGTAAAGATCTCTGGTTTCTTTAATGGGGTTTGGAAGGATATTTGTTCCAAAGCTGACTGTCCCTGGCCCAGTCCCTACCTTACTCCAGTACAGACTCCCATTTTGGTAATATGATTTTTTGGAGCTATGAATAAAATCTTCTCTAGCTGTCTTGGATAGGTGCTGGACCTACGGGTGCTGGACCTACGGGTGCTGCCGCACCCCCTGGCTTGAAGTGGTTTCCATCATAGACAGGTTTTACAGTTTGATTCAGTGGCTCTCAGCCCCGCCACTATACAAATTGTTCCAGCACCTCTGCTGTCTTGTGCTAAGAACTGTCAGTAAATTACCGATGGCCGGATCCTTCTTGGCTATCTCACTCGAGTAGTGCATTGACTTCAGTGGACTATTTATGGGCCCAATCCTTGAAGGTGCCAAGTGCATTCAACTTTCTTGATGTCATTGGAAGCCAAAGGTGCAGAGGGCCTTTCCAGAGATGCGTTGCACCTTGCAAGATCACGTCCCAAGTGAGTAAGGCAAGTGGGATTTCCCCCCCCTAAGATATAGATCTAAGGAATGAAATCTTGATCCTAATGAAGTCAACAGCATGCCCCATTGACTTCAGTGGGGCCAGGGTTTTGCCCAACAATCCATGGAAGCAAGATGCTTTAGATGAGTTCTGTGTATTATCCATGGTTTTAAAGAAAAACAGACCTATTTGAGAACACTGGGGTTTCTTTGGCCGGCACTAAATCCACACTCAGGGTCCTCTCCGTTGGCTTTCGGTGCATGCTTTTATGGATCTCAAATTCTTGATTGCAAGGTATAAAACATGTGGACCTCTGACTGCACTGTCTATGCAACTGAGTGACGTTCTCCTCTACTTTATTAGTACCGTCGGGAAGGTTGGAGACAAATTAACGGTGAACCCTGTAGAGTCTTTTATAGCTAAAGACTCTGGAACTGCCTTTCATGGGGTAGAATTTTTCTTAATAAATTCTCTTTGAAGTGCTGTCTGGGATTATTTTCTTCTGAACTGTTTTACTGTTTTGCTGTCACCCTTGGCTTGTTGGTACTTTTTCATAAATGACCATAGTGTGATTTAATTGAGACAGGCCCTGTACATTGTAACATGAACAAAACGTTCGATCTCCTCTAGCGCAAGTGCCGGTGGGCTTTGTTTATGGGTCTGAAGGTCCCGGGTTCAGTTCTGTAGTGATGACTAGCGTGCTGGTAAGTGGAGTGCAGCCTTGAGCTGATGCTGAATGCATTATGCAGAAATTAACCTCTTTAGCAACGAGAATACATGGGCTTGTGCGTGCCTGTCACTCCTGCTCCCTGGATGTGTGAGGGTTGATTTTGCAGAGTTAATATTTTATGTCTCGGTAGGTATTTGTCTGAGGCCCTGCAGTGAATTGTGAAGCAGTAGGTATAGCTCAGATGGTTTGGAGGGTATTTTCTGACTGTGCTTGTACCAGTGAGGTGGGCTGGGCTGGTTGCCAGGACTGCCGCCAGGAAAGGAGAGATGATGGGGGGGAATACAACTGAGCTGATTCTGACAGGCCGGCGGACTGAGACAGGATCTTTAATGCAGAGTGGGAATGTGTCTGAAGGGGGTGCTGCAGGGTAGAGTGGATCAAGACAGAATGGGAAGAGCTGAGGAAACGGGCTCTCCTGTCCGATTCCTGGCATAAGGGATTTGCAGAAGTTTCTACTGTTAATGAGCATGTACCCCTGTAAATTCCAGGAGCATCACAGAGCAAAAGTGGCGCTGTAGAGCGTGTAATTCCTCCCTGGTTATCAGAGAGTGGAACTGTTCGGTGGAGTGGCGAGCAGGAATGATACATGTTGAGGGGGTTCTGGAGTACACTAGAGCAGTGAAAGAGGATGGATTAAATTGTAACAACTCTGTGGCTGCTGCAGGTTATTTGGTCATTACACTCAAATAGGTTAAAAATAATTGTCATGGAGCCTGGACTCAGGACTAATCCTTTGCACTTCCCAGAGCTGTATCCAAGGACAAACATTAGTCCACCCTCTTCCCAGCGCTGAGGCGTCATCCCTGTTTTCCAGATGGGGAGACTGAGGCACAGGCAGCTGAACTGTTATGCCCAAGATCACCCAGAGCGCCTGACTCCCAGCCCTGTGCACTGGTCACTAGGTCTCTCTTTGTCACTGCGGAGACAGAAATATGGAGGTGTTTGCCCTTTATTTACCTCGGAGGACACAAGTAACCATACTCAGCAGTTGCCTTGTAAGAGGATTTGTTTAGTGTTGCTTCCAGAATAAACCATTGGCCTCCAGGGAGTTAAAGGTGCAAGTCCGTGAATTTTCTTGTAGCAAACTGCTGTGGTTTCGGAGCAGCCCAGTTCAGGGTTTTAAAGCAGGGGGACTTTTTTTTTCCCAGGGAGTTTTAAAGCTTTCTTTAATTGCAGCTGTTCCAGGGATAATTGCCTCTAGGTTTAAAAGAACTAACCTACGAGTTCATGTAACTTGCGAGCGGGTTATGAAGAGTCCTGGACTGAATCCCAGCTGATGTAAATCGTCACAGCGCTATGGAAGGCAACGGAGCCACCCTGATTTACGCCTGCCGAGGGTCTGCTCCCTTGTCCCTGAGCCACACAGTTGAGGCACCAGGGTCTCCTGTCAGGAAATTACTAATTTAAAAGACTCCATAAGCCCTAAGGCTGGGCTTTCTGAAGGGAGTCAGTGAAAGTTGGGTGTCTACACTGCAGTCGGAGGTGCGATAGCAGCATGCATAGCCATGTCCAAGCTAGCGTCAATATACCGATAGCAGGGTAGCTGCAGAAGCAGAGACTTAAACGAGCCTGGGCAGCTAACCTGCGCTGAAATCCTGCTGCCATGGCACACAAACTAGGTGAATTAAAGCTAGCTCAGGTATAGCGACAGGTGCTGCATTCACACCTGATTGCAGCAGAGCCGTACCTAAGTCTTTCCATCCCCTCTCTCACCAGACTCTCTCATTCTGACTTGCAATTGCAAACTTACCTCGTCTGTTAGCGCCTAAGCAGCTCCGCAAGTCAAGAACCCAAAGGCATTTCATGCAGCCATTTGAAGTCCATATTCTCGGTCTTTCCTGAGGGAATTTTCTTTAAAACAAAAATGAAAAATAATAATCCAGTGATCAAAAGGCCCTGGAGTTAGAAAACCGCTTTGTTTTTGGACGAAACCGAAGCCGCACGCACTGATATGTGCAATAATCAGCCAGTGAACATACCAAACCAACACAAGATCCTCAAAAAGGCCTTTCAAGCAGGAAGGCATATTTTAAAGTAACAGGGCTCTTTAGTTTTAATGTATTGTTTTGCTTTGGAATTGGCCCAGAATGTTTTTCATACAAGGCCAAACTGTTCTTGATCTGTAGGAGCACAAATCTGTCTCTCCCCTCCCCCTGCCCAGTCCTGCAGCTCAAAGGCGTTCTCTGGCTTATTAAATCCCCCAAAACGGGATCTTGTCACACAGCCATGTCTGTCAAGCTTTCTCGTCGCAGTGTGAAATGCTAGTGTAGTAAGGTCGCTGCTCTGAATGCAGATGTCCGACCAAAATTAGTTCGTAAGGATGAAATTCACATCTGTGTAGATTGCCAGCACAAGAGCTATTTGCCACTGAAGTCCCACTTGAGCCCGTTTGAGTTAATTACAAGGCTCATTCCATTGCCCTTACACATGTGTATCTCCCAATGAAGTGAATGGGAATTCTGTATGCATTAGGACCAAATATTGGGGCCTTTATGACTTAAGTGGTACATATGCTTTCCACTGGCCCTCTGCACAGGGGTGAATTTTACCATACCAAGCCTGCAGTCCCTCTGCATGCAGAACCCTCCTCGTTTCAAAGAGAGATACAGGTGCAGAGAGCTGCAGAATGGAGCCTTTTAACCATTCAGCAAATGCAGCATTTCTGTACGGTAGATATAAATCAAGCCTACGCTGTTAGATTTTACACATTCTGTAAAAGAAATTGCTGTGCACCTACAAATCTCGTCGTAAGTCTATCAGAATGAAGTCATGCAGTAAAATATCCCACTGCACTACAATTGAACTGGACTTGAGGCTGAGTACGTCTCTCTAACTGAAGAGTAAAACATTGCTCCCAAGACTGCTGCAGTTTTTTCTCTAAACAAGCATTACAAACCCAGGGAGTTCAGAGTTAAGGTTAAACTGAAAAGGAATGGGTGGAAGTTGAGGCTGGAAAAATTCTAACTGGAAATACGGTGCAATTTTTTTTTTACCTTGTAACAATTAGCTAATGCAGCGAGGGTAATTAGCGATTGGGACAGCTTCCCAAGGGCTGCGATAGATCCTCCATCACTTGGAGTCATTAAGTCAGGATGGGATGGCCTTCAGTTGGACTCGATTCAGGAATCACTGAGTGGAATTTTCTGGCTTGTGTTATGCAGGATGTCAGGTTAGATGACCCTAATGGTCTCTCCTGGCCTTAAAATCTATGAACCTTCGAGGGGAGGAAAAAATCCCAACATGTTACGGTATGGAAATGCACATTTAATGCACCCAAACAACTGTAACTTTGTCCTCTGACCCTAGCTTCCAGTGTTCCTTTCTCTGTTCTTTTCTTAGTTAGTGTCCCATCCTGCAAACCCTTGTTCAAACCATTAATGTTTTGCAGCATTTACCCTTGCCATTGTGCTACAAATTCTCTAGAATCAAGGACACTGAGTAGAGTTTTAAGGAGCAGACCTGTGTGCCAGCGTCTCAGCTGGTTTACATCACCACCACTCTGTTAGCTGCAACTGCGGGGCGGTGATACGCACCCACTGAGGATCTAGCCCTTTAAAGTTTGAAAACCCGGTGGAATTGGACAGGGACTGTGACTGAAGAGACCCCGAGAAGGGTGACCCCTCAGTGCGCTCCCTCTTTGGCATCACACTGGAATTTTATTACCTCTTTTGGCAGAGGCAAAGTTACGTCTTTTTTCCGGAACCCTCGTGTCTAGTAGAAAATGAAGTCTTGCAATCTTTCATAGACTGTCAGTTTAAACAGAACTTCGTGGAATATTAGAGTTAAAATCACTGTGCTACAACAGTCAAAGGATTCGATTTATTTAAAATATTATCTGAAGCCTAGATGTCATTTAGCAGCTTGAATTAAGCAAGCTAGACCGACCTGCTACTGTCGTAAGCTAACAGTTTTTTAACTTCTCTGAGCTCTCTCTGTGATGCACCTTTCGTCTGTGCAGTCGCTATGAATGCATTTTGCTTATGGCTCTTTTCCCCTCCCTCCCCCTTTGGCTTATTTGTTTGCAGAAAAAAATGGACAGCCGGGAATACCAGGACGCACAAGGTTTTGCAGCGGATATTCGGTTAATGTTCTCTAATTGTTACAAGTACAATCCCCCAGACCACGAAGTTGTAGCCATGGCCAGGAAACTCCAGGTAAAGATGTTGGCAAATGCATCTTCCAGAGAGTACATTTTAGCTCCCTCTTAGGAGGAGCCTTCAAGGTTCTGAGCGTGCTCAGCTCCTCTTGGTGTCAATCCAGGAGGGTCCTTGACTGCCCTGGTATTTGGAAAGGGCCATAGATGCCCTGTGCGGTAGCCTGTTCTTCACATGGTGTGACTCAAAGCTGAACACTGCTCAAAGTATGGCCTAATCATTGCTTCGCAAGGTGATAGGAGAGTGACCTTGGGTTTACATAATACACCCCTCTGAACGCCCCATTGAAGAGGCGGGGGAAATTGTGCAGTCTGAAAACTACGCTAGCAACATACCATCCTAAAGCCAACCTCCAAGGCTGTTGCAGCAGATGTTCTCACGCTCGCAACCAAGAGGTGCTGTTAGTGTCAATACTGGCAGGGTTTTTTCTGAACTGGATGGAGGAGCTAAATCCTAGAGTGGGAGTCTAACCGAGCAGCAAGTAAGCAGTTATGAAGAAAGCAAATGCACAGGGAATTGCCAGACCCATGGTCCATCTAGCTCAGTGTCTGGTCTCTGTCAGTAGTCGGTGCCAGATACTTCAGAGGAAGGTGTAAGAACCTCACAGTGGGGATATACCTGATAATCTGCCCCCTAAGCAGGTCTCAGACGATTTTACAAAGAGAGATTAAAGTGTGATCCAACTCCTGTTAAGAGTCTTTCCATTGACTTCCAAGGAGCTTGGATCCACCTCTGATGACTTTAGACCCTAAACTCTCCGGGGTAAGGAATGCTTCCTAGTTACTTGTCTCTACCGCACAATTGATCAGGGTTCCTAGCATGGCCTTAATAATGATCTTAAAAGATGCAGAATGAGGTCGTTGTGGCTGAGGCATCTTTGTCGCCCTGCACCCAACAACCTCTGCAGGACGTCTTCGAGATGAGATTTGCAAAGATGCCGGACGAGCCCGTGGAGCCCCCGCCCCCACCTCCTCCGACGGCGCCGGTCGTCAGTAAAAGCACGGAAAGCAGCCACAGCAGCGAGGAGAGCTCGTCTGACTCCGACAGCTCCGACTCTGAAGAAGAGCGAGCGACCAGGCTGGCCGAGCTCCAGGAGCAGGTGAGTGGCAGGCCAGCTCCGAGCAGCCTCTCCATAGTGAGCGGTGTATCTGTGAATGTCTACAAAATGTATAGTAGAGCGGGACTTACGGGTATCGATTTGTTGTAAAAATCCCTTCTGGGCTGAGACCTGGCAATTAAGACCCGCCCCTTCCCCCCTGCCCCCCGAGCCTTTATGATGCAGGAAAAACCTAGTCTACAGGAAATGTTTTTAAAAGAAGGTTAATTTTATTTTGTAACAACAATATTTGGCACTTCCATTGCACGCTTCCTCCAAAGCAGTTGGCAAATATGAATGAAACCCCACAACACCCCTGGGATAATCTAGGAAAAGATTATCACACCCATTTTATAGGCAGGGAAACTCAGGCATACTCAAGTGTACCACCTGCTCCCTTTGTGATCTTGGGCAAGTTTTGCTGGGTCTCAGTTCCCTTTGTGTAAAATGGGGTTAAAGATACTTCTTTTCTCTCTCCTATTGGCTGTTTAGACTGTAAGCTCTACAGGGCAGGGACTGTCTCTTATGTGTACGTGCAGCGCCAAACACAAGGGGGCTTGGTTGGGGTTGCCAGGTGCCACTAGAACATACCTAAATAATCAAGTGACTTACCCAGCACGTCATTGGCAGAGCCAAGAATAGAACCCAACTGCCCTGATGCCCCAGTCCTAACCACTAAATTCCCTACTTTTCCATGAGTTTCTCCACCAAGAGGTGGCTACTTTTCATTTGCCTAAAGAATGGGAACTACGTTTTCTCCCGAGGGTCCACTTCTGTGGACCCGTATTTAACTCTTTAAAGAAAGGTTACTAAAAATCAAACAAAGTCTCCCGGCTGTAATCAATAGACTTAGCCCAATGATTAACTTTAAACGCGGCTGGTGTGAATGGGAGAGGTGTGAGCACCTCTGGGTGGGTGGGTGGATGCTGTCTGTGCCTGGAAGAGTTGCGTGTGTTGATAATGGGGCTCGACTCTTCTGTTCTCCCCGCAGCTGAAGGCCGTCCATGAGCAGCTAGCTGCTTTGTCGCAAGCGCCCGTGAACAAACCAAAGAAAAAAAAAGAGAAGAAGGAAAAAGAGAAGAAAAAGAAAGACAAGGAGAAAGAGAAAGAAAAAGAGAAGCACAAAGTGAAAGCCGAGGAGGAGAAGAAACCCAAGGTGGCCCAACCAGCAAAACAGACCCAGCAGAAGAAAGCACCAGCAAAAAAGGCAAACAGCACGACCACAGCTAACAGGTGGGTGTTTGGCCTCTTGTCCGGAGTCTTCCTATACGTTAGTCTTTCCCTTCCCTTGCCAGTTTTGTAGCTTTCTGTTATCCATACTAGCCTATGGGGAACCACACAAGGTTCGGAGGGTCACATCGAATAAACATCTTGGGTGAGAATTTCAAAAGCACTCGGCATTGGCCTACCTCTGCATCTGGTGAAGTCAGTGGTGAAGCTCCCACTGACTTCAAGGAGAGCGGAATTAGGCTAACACTGAGCATTAATGAAGATGCCCCCCCCCCCCCCCCCAAAATGCAGACGCTGATTAGAATCTCTTGAGTCTTGAGCTGGAAATTGATCCATCCTATTTCTAATGCCCCGGTCATCGGAGTTAGCTAGGAAGGCATCTCCAGATCAGGCTTTTTCTCGTGCTTTCTGCCTCTGGCTTAGCCAATGAGAACTTCCCCTCCAGTGCCAGCTGGGGCCTGGACTAGCAGAAGTGCCTGCAAATGCTGAAAAGGAGAGATGGAGTTAAAAAGTTAACCCCGTACTGCAATGCTCCCCAACCTTTTTCGTCTGGCGGGTGCCAGACGACGAGCCACGGAGGACCGTGGCGGCGGACGAGCATCCGCCGAATTGCCGCCGACAAGCGGCAACGTCAATAGGCGTCGCCGTCGAAATGCCACCGATAAGCAGCGTCCTCCAGAGGCGTCGCCGCCGAAATGCTGCCTATTTTCGACAGCGACGCCTCTGGAGGACACTGCTTGTCGGCGGCATTTCGGCGGATGCTCGTCCGCCGTCCACGGGCACCGCATTGGGGACCCCGCCGTACTGTATTTCAGAACTTTGAAAAAGCTCCAGTTCTGTTCCAGATGGGCAGAGGGTCTGGGTTGGGGTTGGTTACTTTGGGCCAAGTCCCTGTTCCTGTTGAAGTCAGTGGGAGTTCTGTCATGGGTTCAGGATCTGGCCCCTTCTTTCCGAAATGGCTTCTCTCTCCCTAATGCAGACACACTGTAAAACACAAAAAGGGCCCCAACCTGATCCCAGTGAAGTCCAAGCGAAAAACGAGTGTTGAGTTTCTTCCAGTCCTCACCTAACGAAGCCCACTCCAAAGAGTTACAGCCATCATCTAGTTCTGTGGTGCTGTGATGGGTTGTACCTCTCTGGCGCCCTCTTGGAGTGAAGTGCTTCTCTTGTCTTGGATGTCCTTCTCTGGACAGCGGTGTGACTGTAGTCTGGGTTCCAGACGTGGGGTACAACTTTCTGGCTGTGCCCGAGGGAGTCTGTCCTCTTCTGGGGCGGGAAGAAGGGAGGTGTTAAAGAAGTCCAAAAGAAAAAAGCCAGAATACCTCCACGGCCTACAAAAAGGGTTGCGTCCCTGCAGTCTCATGTAGGGTAAAGGCCAGTAGTCCTGAGGGGAAGATCTGGGCTCCTTACCCCTTTTGTCCAAACAACCTGGGCTAAGTCCTGGGTCTCAGAGAAGGAAAGTAAGGAAAAAGCCGGTCCCTCTGTTTCCTCAGGGAGCTCCCCAGCAGACGGCCCCTGGGGACAGCTGGCTCTGCGCACTAGCTCTGTTTGTTCTTGAATGCCGCCCAGCCTGAACCTTTTTAAGGACCTGCCCTTCTCCAGGATCGATAAGCCTTGGGGTGCAGCAGATTGGGGCCTACTGAGCCCAGAGGAACTCTTTAACCCCTTATTGACTGGGGTGGTGCTCTCACAGTCAGTAACAACTGCCGACATGCCAGACCGAATTGTGTCCTAAATTGTCTCAGTGCTAGACATGGGCTGTTAAGCCCCTATTCAGGACTAGCATTCCTGTTCGAGACAGCACGTAAGTACATACTTTAGTCCCACTGACATCGCTGGGTTTTGAACACAGGTTTAAGTGCTCTCCTGAATCGAGACAGCATCCCTCAACATTAGGGATCGGTGGTCATGCCAGTTTACAATTTGTAACAGTCAGCATTCGTGATAAAACATTTGGTACAAGGGGAGGAGAAATGAACACGATACACCAACGAGCATGTTTGTGCTTTCAAACCCTCCAGGCAGCCTAAAAAAGGAGGCAAGCAGGCGTCTGCACCCTACGATTCTGAGGAGGAGGAGGAGGGCTTGCCCATGACCTATGATGAGAAGCGACAGCTCAGCTTGGACATCAACCGCCTGCCGGGGGAAAAGCTGGGCCGGGTGGTGCACATCATCCAATCCCGGGAACCTTCCCTCAGGGACTCCAACCCCGACGAGATAGAAATAGATTTTGAAACCTTGAAGCCCACCACTTTACGAGAACTGGAGAGATACGTCAAGTCTTGTTTACAGAAAAAACAAAGGAAACCGTTTTGTAAGTTACCTCATGGCTCACGAGTTCCCCATCAGCCCCCCGGCATGGGAGGCAAGGGGTTGCTCATTAGGACCCTCTTCTTATCAAAGTCTCTTTCCAAGTATTGATTACTTGTTGGCAATCTGACGGTGATTTTTTTAAAAGGCCTCTTTCCCCAATGGAAATGTCCAAGACCCTCCTCTTTAATCTGTTCCTGCCCTCCCCAAAATCCTGTACCATGGAAGGCTGAAGGTTCCAAGCTCCCCGGGACGGCGCTCCTTCCCTCCAGAATCTGTGAGGGGCTTATTGTTGTTTGTATTCTGATAGCGTCTAGAAAGCACTACCAAAATCCAGGCCTCTTTGTGCTAGGTAATGTGCATACACCTAGAAGGATATGTTCCCTGATGTGAAGAGCATATAATCTAAATAGACAAGACAAAGGGTGGGGAACCAACACAGAGAGATGAAGTGACTTGCCCAAAGTCTCACACAGAGTCTGTGGCAGAGCCAGGAATTGAGCCCTGATATCCTGAGTTGTGTCTTAACTGTAAGACTGTCCTTCCTTGATGGGTGGTCTCTGCTTTGTCCCCAATCCCTCACTCCGGGAGCAAAGACTCAAATGTAGCAGATAACCATGATCCCTGCAGAGTAGCCCATTTTGCTGCCACATGACTTCCAGAGAGTTCTAAGCAAATTTATTTTTTTCTGACATCTCGATAGTTTTTTTTTCTTGCTTTTTAATGTACAGTAGAACTTCAGAGTTACAAACACCAGAGTTATGAACTGACCAATCAACCACACACCTCATTTGGAACTGGAAGTATGCAATCAGGCAGCAGCAGAGACGAAAAGGAAAATGCAAATACAGTACAGTACTGTGTTAAACGTAAACTACTAAAAAAAAATAAAGGGAAAGCAGCATTTTTCTTCTGCATACTAAGTTTCAAAGCTGTATTAAGTCACTGTTCAATTGTAATATTTTGAAGGAACAACCATAAGGTTTTGTTCAGAGTTACGAAAAACCTCCATTCCCGAGGTGTTCGTAACTCTGAGGTTCTACTGTATCAGCTTGGTTTTGACTGAATCCCTTTACTGCTGGAACAATTCAGAGACTCTCCAGAATAATTATGTATGCAGAGCATTTTATTTTTGCAACCAAAGCCTGTGTTAACCTGGAAAACCTCAGAGTGTCATTACTGCAGGTGTGTGACGTTTGCATACCCTGCACTGATGAACAGGGCTTTGTCTGTGACAATGTCAACACCATGGAATATAACTAAACTTTTCTGGCACATTCTGCTTATTGCAATGTTTTGCTTTCAGAGGGTACTCCGTGTAAGTTTTTGGTGGGAGGGTTTTGGTTTATCATTACTTTAAAATAATACAGAGGAATTTAGGTATTTGGTTCCAGGATCAAGCCAGTGGGCCATCTGTCCTGTTTCTGATAGTGGCCAACATCTGATGTGCAACAGTCGAAAGTATACAATATTGTACTGTGGGGGGATATTTCTTCCTCACCGCAGCTAGCATTAATTTATGATCTGAAGCATGAGGATTGTTGATACTTCTTAACATTTTAATCCTAGCTAATGCAAATACATTCTTGCCATCTGCTATTTTTGCCTGTATCAGTTGCAGTTCTCTTTTTTTAAGCAACAAAACAGCTGAATTCTTGCATGAAAAATCTAGATCTTGATGGCAAATGCCTGCTTCTGACAACCTTTAATGGGACACTTTGTTTTACAGGGCAGAAAACCCATGTAACAATTCTTTAATTACAATGTAACTATTGACCATATAAGTGGCTGGTAAGTAACCTGTAAATACAAGGTTATTACATGGATATTTCTATCTTCTAAAATAGTTTCCAAGAGATCTTAAAACAAAAAAAATCATGTCAAGGGTGATTGTTATCTGAGAGTCTAGGCGACTTTGTGTGTTGTCCTCTGTAGGGATGTGTAATTGCTATGTGGTCACATGATCTTCACAGTGTAACTACAGAGCAGTTGCCTAGTTGTGTGTGCCCTGTAAAATAGTGATGTCCACTTTTTTTTCCCCCCAACCATACAGTCTCAGAAATTGTGCGTTCCTCCTCCACAGCTGCAAGTGGGAAAAAGCAAGCAGCAAAATCTAAAGAAGAGTTAGCTCAGGAAAAGAAGAAAGAGTTAGAAAAACGGTTACAGGATGTCAGCGGGCAGCTAAACAACAACAAGAAACCTGCAAAAAAAGGTAACTGGCCCCACTTCATTGGCTACGTGTAGTGAGGTTTCACTGCTGTACAGGCCCTGGGCCAAATCAGTTACTATATAGAGACATATATATGTGTAGAGAGTGAATCAATTAATGTGTGGAGCTAAGTTTCAGACTGATGCGTCTACTTAAAAAAAAAAAATGCAGGAGATATCACACAATTCCCATTACCAGCCAGATTATTAGTCTTTATTAACTTGGGCTTGTCTGCATGAGAAAGTTGCATCAGTTTAATTTAGGGTATGATTTTAAAGTGATTTAGTTAAAGCAGAGCGAAAGGTTGTGTGGACAGTCTTATTTCAGTTTAAACCAAGCTTATTCCGGTTTAACTTATGTCAATTAGGAATCAGTTAAGGCTTACAAGTAGCTTCACTCACTGACTGCATTGGGGCAGGACTCCAAAGCAAGTTGAAGACGGGGATCATCGCCCTGGCTGATTTGTCCTCAGCATATGACACTGTCTGGAAACAGGGCCGCCTCCTCGATCTCCCGCATCATTCCCTGCCAGCGAACGATCCCTCTCTTGGCAGCAATGACTGGCGACCGCCACTTTAAGCTGCACCTTATTAGCCAGATCAGTAGACCAAGAACTCTTAACTTGGGTATCCCTCAGGGCTCCGTCCTGGCCCAGATACTTTTTAATCTATGCACTATGGATATCCCAGCAATGGAAATTCATGTATGTGGATGACTTTGCTCTACCTGTTCAGCACACAAGCCTTCATACCATCAGCTGCACCCTAACCCGAGATCCTACCACAATGGCTGATTAATTCCAACGCTGGAAACTTAGGCCTAGCCCGAAAAAAACCAGTGGTGACCGCTTTCCATCTGAACCATCAAATGACTAATACCAAACTCCATGCACAGTTCTGCGGCGAGAGAGTCAGGCATGAGGCTAACCCAAAGTATTTTGGTGTTACGCTGGACCGGAGTTCGACCTTTCGACAACACCTGCAATAGGGTCAGGTCTCGTGTCGCGCTTATCAGGAAATCGGCTGGAACATCATGGGGCTCCAGTCATGGACCTTATGAACAGCAACAATTGCCTTGGTACATTCTGCGGCTGAATGCTCTGCGCCAGTGCGGTCTCACAGCAGCCACACTAAACTCCTTGACGCACAACTCAGTAATGCCACGCGCATAGTGTCAGGGATGCTCAAATCGACTCCAGACAACTGGCTCCCGGCTCTATCGCACATCCAGCCTTTACCCATTAGAAGAGCTGCCCAGACATCTCGCTTTCTCAACCCTGTCAATGCAAACATGAGGCTCCCGCTGCACAATGACCTGCAGAACCCACCAAAGACCAGATTCAAATCCCGCAGCCCTCTATGGAACCGCATCAAGACCCTTACACTCAACTTTGATGTTGAGACTCAATGGAGAGCCACATGGAGCCTTTCGACCGCTCAGGACAGCTCGTTGTTGACCCTTCTGAGGAACCACCGGGTTTTGATTTATGTCGGAAAGACTGGTGCAGATTGAACCGCATCAGGACATCTCATGGGAGATGTAGGCAAACCCTCTTTAAGTGGAAAACGTGGCAAACACCTGTATGCGACTGTGGTCCCCAGCCACAAATGACGGAGCACATATCTGAGTGTCCCCTTTGTTCTTTCGCACGGGGCCTGAAGGACATTCCCCAGCTCACTGCTGCAGGAATGTACTGGCTGTCAAACCTAGATATAAATTTGTAGCCATTGCTACCTATCCAAGCCATATGCAAGAAGTAGTAGTTAAGGCTAAACTGAAAGAAGAGTGTTACACAGGGGGTTGCGCTCATGTAACAAAATCGGTTTAAAAACTGATTTAAGGCTACATCTACATTATGAGCTAGGGCTGTTATCCCCCATACTCGCTCTGTCTCTCATCCAGTGGGTATAAATAGGATAGCCATGGTAGCTCAGATAATGGCAGCGGAAGCCTGGTTTAGCAGTGCTGCATACAAGCCAGTGTTAAACCAGTGGGTACATACTCAGCACCACTAAACTGGGCCTCCGCTGCCGTGACCCATGCTACCCCGGCTCCGCTACTATTTATACCATAGCTCAATGAGAGCTACAGCGAGTGTGTCTACACGAGGAGAGGAATCACACCCCTCGCTCATAGTGTAGAGGTAGCCTAAGTTAAACTGGTGCAACTTTCTCATATAGACAAGGCCGTAGATTGAATAACAGGCTTGACAGCCTCCAAGCTTAGATCTTGCCCAGCTGGGGTAGAACCTTTGTATTGATAATCTGATAAACCTGCCTGTTTCCTACAGGAAAATTTTACCAACAAACATTATTCATCTCCCTGGGTTGGCTCTCCGAGAATGCGCAGAACCCAGAGCTTGGGGGAAATACCCCAGCAAAATCCACGGGCTGAATTCTCCTCTTAGCTATACTGTTGTGAATCTTGTAAAGAGTCCAGCTGGTGGAAGTTGCCCCGGTCCTCTCTCTGTCAGCAACTCCCACTCTGGAGGCTGTGCTAGCCAGCTTCAGGCCCCGCACGCTGAGTGTGGAGTATGGGTACTTGTGCCATCCAGTTGAAACCAACCTGAGATTCAAGTTGTATTTATCGTGGGTTGTTTGGTTTTGGGTTTTTTTCCATTGAACATTTGCTATTAAAATAATTGGCCACTTAAAAAGCTTGCTACCTGGGCAGTTCCACTTTAAGGCCTTCTCCAATTTTCCAGAGGTTTTGGATGTTGCCCCAGCTATCGGATTGTACCATACCAGCACATAGACTGTTCAACCCCAGGGTGGGGAGAGTGTAGGAAGGGGTTTATATGAATAAATCGTTCATAGTTCAGATATCTTTCAAATAAATGATGCACAATCTACTTCCCTCTAGAAAAGTCCGGCTCGGCTCCATCCGGAGGCCCTTCCCGTCTCAGCAGCAGCAGCTCCTCAGAATCCGGAAGCAGCAGCTCAAGCGGATCCAGTTCGGACAGCAGCGATTCGGAATAAACTAGACACTTAACAAAAAAAAAAAATGGACAACATACACACCAATACTCTGCAGTGTTCCCTTCTATGGTTAATATACTACTCTTGTTCCACGGTGGTCAGGTTTTTTCTCTCTCTCTTATTTTTTTTTTTTTTTTTAAATTCAGTGTTATAAAAGATATCTTCCAATTTTTTTTCTCTGCTTTTAATAGGTCAAAGATCTTTTTTTGTGCGTGCATGTGACTAGACTTTATGATAAGTAGTTCACTTTGCGTAAAGTCTCTAAATTTTTTTAACTGAAGATGGTTGCTTGGATGTGACAAGAACTTTGAACTCTTAACAAGAGATCCATAGAAAAATCTGCAAGGTGTAGTATACAGTTTCTTTTTTTTTTTTTTTTCTTTCATTTTTTCTTTTTTATTTCTTCCATCTGGCTCACTACGACGCAAGGAAAAAAATTTTTTTTAAAGAAATCTCTGTAAAATGGTACTGTATCTGAAAGATGTTAGCTTTTGAACTAGTTGGTGTATTTGTTATTAGCACTAGTATTCTTAATCTCCAAGTCTACAGTGTGATGAAAATGTCAGATGCTATCATCTTTTTACATAAAAAAAACAAAAACTCATGTACTGTGGATTGTTAAAATGTATCCTTTTGGGGGAGGGGGGTAGAGGAGTAGGCTCCTATTCAGGAAGGTACTTAAGCATGTGCTTAACTTTAAGCATGTGAGCAATAGAGCTGGTCAGAATTCCCCCCCCCCATCAAAAATTTTGACTTTTTGTTGAAAAAATAAAACATGTTCAGTCTTTCAACAAAAATCAACAATTTTTTGAGGAAAACAGACACTTTGTGTCACTGAAAACCTCCAATTTCCCTTCAAAAAATTGTCAACCACCCTAATGAGCCAGACCCCCTGACATCAAGGAGACGACCCACATGCTCAAAATCAGATATGTGCTCCAAGTACCTTCCCAAATCAGAGGCTTTAGACAGGTTGGAGATAAAGTGGGTGCTGCAGCTTCAGCCCAGGTCACGTCACCAATGGAATGGGGGAGGGAGGTTGAATGTTTTTTATCCTATCTTTGTATTAGCAAGGAGCTCCTAGGAGGGAACGCTACTTCTGTGTCTCGCAGGGTGCAGGTTTCCAAACACTGAAACTTTTACCTCAAGAAAAAAAAAAAAAAAAGTGTGTGGGGGGTCAGAAAACCAGAAAAAAAACCGTCTTTTTTTTCGTAAGGCTCAGCAGTTTTCTATGAGAGTCCAGCCTAACGATTAAACCTGCACTGCTGCAACACATACTCCATTGTCACTGTCCCTAATTTCATGTATATATAAATACTTTATTTATTAACACCATTGGTCATTTGAAACATTAAGAAAACTGCATTATGAAGAACAGCAGAAATGCAGAGGTTTTTTAAATGGTTTGAACCAGTCTAAAAAAAAAAAAAATCTGAGACCTTATTTAAATGTATTGGACTTTTTACCTACAGGTGCTACAGTCCATTATTTCCTGTGTCGGTGCTCTATCATGTTTTGTGTACTCCATTTTTTTTTTTGTTTTGTTCCTTCTTTTCTCTTGCTTTTTTTGTACAGAATTTGGAGACTTACAGGTATAGATGACTTCCAGATGCAGCACATTTTTATTTTATCTTATTTGTAATTTTTCCACAGCTCTGTCTCTCTGGTTTTTTTTAATCCAATTTTAGGAAAACCCCAGTTCTATAGTATAAACTTTGTAATCCAAGGGGCGGAAATGTATAGTAAATTGAATTCTTGATTTTTTTAAAAAACTTTTTATTGTAAAGAAAAAAAATATACAGAGTTTAACAGAAGTTATGCTTTTCCTTATCCCACCCCCAATTCCCTGAGGCTACCTCGTTGCCTCTAACATGGGAAGCCTTGACATTTGCCCTGCTGAGCCCATATTAGCATACTGCCAAGAGCCTTCGGGCTGCACCTTATCCTCATAAAGTGGTGCAGGTTGCAGCTGTCCTCATTTTATAACACGGGTGTGGCCTATGAGGACTGCAAATCCCAGCATGCAATGTTCCCAGCAAGTTTAGCTTCCAAAGACCTGGAGAGGAAACATTGCATGCTGGGACATGTGGTCCCGGTGGGCCGCACCTCCTTTTTGAAAGTGAGGGAATCCATGGGCCCTGTTGCTAGAACACCACGGCTTGCACTTTGGGGCGTCTTTGCTCTAAAATGTTCACTTTGGTGCAAAAGTTACTGTATCCAGGCTCAATTGTCACTCACTTAATTCCCATGTAACCCCATTTTATTGACAGACTTTTAGAGGATAGACTATCAGAGATGAAAGAGGTGGCTTACCCTTGCATCTGTCTACAAACTACATCATCGTCACCTCAGTCAGCATTTCAGGAAAGATGGTGAGGTATTCATACATGACTCTAATGCAACTGAAGCGGCTCGGTGTATGTGTCTTAATGACAAAAGCAGCAGCAGCAGCTGTACACAGACTCTGCCAAAGCCCCGGAAGCATTATCCTGTTGTGCTATAGGAACGGACCCTGATTCTGTAAGACACTGAATGCCTCCTATAGGTTGCTGAAGAGCCTCTAGTCACTTTGAAATCAATGGGATATTCAGCCTTTCTGCAGGAGGTGCTCAGGGCCTTGCAGGATTGGGCCCTAAAGCATTTGCAAGGAATGGATGAATGAGGGTATCCAGCATCTTACTGAAATTAACAATTTACCTTTTCCATTAAACTGAGGTTCATTTTAGTTCCTATATTTTTTTAAACACTGCCCTTCGTTGTTTAAAAAAAAAAAAAAAAAAAACTTCTCCCCCAAACAGATCCTTAGTAATATATTTTTAAACGTTACTGTGAGGAAATGTAATATACATCTAATTAGAGCTTACGGTGGTTTTTTGTTTCTTGTTTTTGGTGGGGTTTTTTTTTTCTTTTTGAAGGGTGGATTTGCTTTTTTGCTTTTTGTTTTAACCTTTAATGCGTGTTAAATGAAAGTGAGGACTATTTGGTTTTAAATAGATCTGAGCAATTCAATGCCAATCTGGAAAAAAATCCTGAGAAATAAGCTATTTCCTTCATACTGAAATCCTCCCCCATGTGCATCTGGGTTACATCTATTAAATGAATATGAAATTCACTCAGGGACATAGTCATTGGTGGCAATTTACGCAAGTGTTTACATCAAGTAAATAAAAATAAGTTTGATACTTGTAAGAAAATGTGGGGGGAGCCCACAGCAGGAAGGAGAAGACTGTGCATGTCCCTAATCAACCAGTGTCAGTATAGCATTTAAAAGCTTCATAAAATGATCATAGGTTAAGCCTATTTCTTGTCACACCATAAGGCCCAGACTCTTATGGAAGCTGAGGAACATCGGCCTCCCAAGGATCAGGCCCTAGTTCACCTTGAAAACGAATGTGTTGATTAAAACTTTTTCACTGAATAGATACAGTTGACACAAAACAAATTCAGTTTTTTTATTGCTGTGATTTTAAACTTTCGTATCAACAGGGTTTGAAATTGTAGAACTGATTTCCATTCAGAATGTAAAAATATGTATAACCAGTTACTACTTTTTTACACACACACACGCACGCATTAAAGTAGTATTTGGGTTGTGGTCTCTTTCCATGTTCTCTGGTTGGTGGAATCAGGCTACAGTTCCCTAATTTAATTTTCTCTCTACTTTTGGGACTCTTAGACCAGTTTTTAATTTGTTTCCTTTTTTTAAATGATGTTTTTTAAGGCTAGGGTTGGAGCTAGGGGTGGGAGTTGGGGCATGACCAAAAAAAAAAACTTTATAGTAATGGATTTTAAAAATACATGTTCTAAAACGCAAGCAATTAGCATTATGGTGCAACTGTGGGCAGGCTGTGAGTTATAGGAGATTAATACAGGGCAGGAGGAGGTCATTACACTAGCAGCATTATCGTCCTTGTAAAATGGTTGGATGCATTTTTTAAAAATGGTATTTGCATATCTTTTTAAAAAATCATTTTTTAAAAGTAAATAAAACAACCCACCAGCTAGGATTTGACACGGGCCTTTTAGAGCTTACGCCCCGATAACTGGCATAACAATTCCAAAACAATTGGTTGTACGTTTTGTTCTGTTTTTCCTTTTTTTTTACTATTTAAAACAAATGTTACTTTTCTGTATGATGTGCATGCAAATTTACCGTAACTCTTTTTCTTAAGACTTTTTAGTGCCATTTCTAGTATATTCCTGTAAATGTCAGTTACTGAAGAATGAGTCAATGTAACTAGTTTTAGCTTGTTTATTGCAAACGCTGGCCTCGACACAACAGAATTTAAAAAAAAAAAAAAAAAGTTAGAAAGTAAACTTTGATGTTACTGGTAATCATGGACCCCTCTCCTGGGGCATTTGTTTTTTTTTCATAATAAAAAAAAAAAAAAAAAAAGCGTGTGTGCCTGCGTGTGTGAAGTTTTATACATTGCTTGTTTCCTTCCTTCCCCCCCAGGTCTTCACCATGGTTGAAATCATATGAGGTCCTGATTCAGCAAAGCACTTAAGTAGTATTGCCAAACCTCAGAAATCATGAATTGGGACCCTCCCAAATCATGGAACTAGCTTAAAAAATCACGCGAGTTTTTAAAAATAATAACTTTGCATTTGTTTTATTTGCCTGCTGGGCTTTGAGCCTTTGGGATTGCATCTGCTCATGATTTCAAGCTTTTCTCTGCAACCCTGAGGGTGAGAAACTTACCTTTTTTAATAAATGAAAATTGAGATGTTCTCAGAATCACATGACTCCAGATGCTGGGGCATTAAGTAAAACCCCAAATGTCATGAAGTCATGAGATTGAAAATATTGACTGTACATGCTGAAGTTTAAGCATGTACAGTAAAAGTTGTTTTATCCGGCACTTCACCAACCGGAAAGCTCTATAAACCGGCATTTCGGATCTTCATTGAAATTCCGGTTTATAGTCCGGGGTTGGCGAGGAGCCGTCAGGGGTTTGGGGCACGGGTGGGGGTGCAGGGCGCAGGCTCTGGGAGGGAGTTAGGGTAAAGAAGAGAGCTTGGGGCACGGGAGGGTGTGCGGGGTGCTGGATCTGGGGGCACTCATCTCGGGCGGCTCCCTGCAAGTGGTGACCTGTCCCGGCTGCTCCTAGGCGGAGGCATGGCAGGCGGCTCTGCACACTGCCCCCACTCTGCCCTTAGCACTAGCTCCGCAGCTCCCATTGTCTGGGAACTGTGGCCAATGGGAGCTGCGGGGGCGGCGCCTGCAGGCAGAGGCAGCACACAGAGCTGCCTGCCGCACCTCCACATAAGAGCAGCCGGGACAGGTCACCGCTTGCAGGGGGCCTGCTCGAGAGCGCCCCCAGGATCTGGCACCCTGAGTCCCCTTCATGTATCCAAATTCCCTCCCATAGCCTGTGC